CATGTGTTATGATAGCGCTAAGTAACCAGCAATTTTTATCTAGCTCCTAATATAAAAAAAAACGCAGAAAACAAGTGATACAGGTAACTTGAACCACTGATCTGATGTGCCTATCATGATTTACAAATCTTCATTTGGTATAATTGAGGACAAAAGTGTTTAATATTAGTTGATTTGGTGTTCATCAGATCTTAAATTGACAGTTGTGAAGAAAACATTCAATGATTAACAATGTATATTCACCAGTGTTCGAAATTAACGTCGGTCCGTCGGCCTCACGCCGACAGTGGGTGTGAAGGGCCGAGAGCTGTGAAAAACCATCAGTCCTTGTGACCGACCATAAATTTATATTTAAAAAAAACGTTCCATTGTTTAATATGATTGTAAAACCAAATATATAATAAATATCGCTAGTAACTCCAGAATTGTTTCAAAATTGCGTTTTCTTGCACGTTTGATCAACAAATGGCATCAAGCCTCCGATTCAAACCAATAGAATTCGCGCTTACATTTTATGTTCCGCCATCTTTGATTTGCATCGAACACGCTGGTATCAATAGTTGCAGAGTTATGTCTACATCGAAGTATGTGGCGATATTTAAAGTAAACTGTCAGGAGCCTACAGCTAAACGTGTGAAAACTACACAAAAAAGGCGTGACAAACAGCAAGAATACGAACGGTCTAGGCGTAAACCATGCACATTCCAAATTAGCTGGCAGGCGGAGTTTAAAGACTGGTTACTTTTTGATAACAACAACAAGGTGATGTATTGCCGGCCTTGTCGAGGATCCTACGGCCAGCTGTCGGTTAGTAAGCTGCCCGACAAGCTGTGTTCTGGTTTTCAGAATTATTCAAAAGGGCCATTTGTGGTGGGGACTAATTATTTCAAACACTCTACTCTTGTTGATCACCAGAGATCCGATGGTCATAATCAAGCTGTAATTCACATGACGAATCGTTCTTGAAAGAGTGTAGCTGAAACTGCTGATGAATGAATGCTGCAGTGTTTGATAAGCTCGACCGTCTGTTCCGCGATGCACATGCAATAGCCAAGAATAATAAACCATTTTCTGATTTTGTGTGGATGGCGAATCTTAATGAGGAAAAAAGGGCTCACACTTGGTGAAACTTACCGCAATGATGCATGGAATTTGTGTCAGTCAAGTTGAACAAAATAATATTGCTGTGGAAGTGAAATAATTACAAGTTTTTCACACTGATAAGTGATGGTTCGACAGATGTTTCAGTTATTGAAAACGAAATCATTTATATCCGTTCTGCAAATCATGTTTTTTTCTGAAGATTTTGATGAGTTAGTGACGATGAAAAAAGTGATGATGACCTATTTGAGGCTGCAGATAATATATCTGATTGATTAGTAAATAAAGGTTTTGAAATTGCAAGCTTGTAGTCTTTGTTTGTTAAATATCAGGGCCTACAGTTCGCTAGAAAGACCTACAGTTTTAATTTGACATAGGTCCTTCGGGCCTGTTATGATTTTCAGTTAATTTCGAACACTGATATTCACTTTTAATTTATCAGCAAAATGAGAAAAATAAACCACAGCTAATAATTAATTAAAGTCTGTACAATAAAAATAGTAAACTTTTGTTTATCATCGAAAAAAAGTCTTAAATGAGCCTACATTTTGCACACTAAAGTTGGAAGTAATGATATTCACAACAAATTATGAGGGAGGTGGTTTTTAGCGAAAATAAGTTTCATTAAGTAGTTATATGTACATGTATTAAGTATAATAACATTTTTATCTTTTTAAAACTAAGTCTTGAAAGAGTTGGTTTCATGCCCTTTTACTGAGCTTACTCTCATACATACACCCTTAAAACATTCAAGTGATCAAAGGAAAACCTTCATGAAACTAAACTGCAGAGTCAACACTATTCACTTTCATGCTTTCAATTTAAATAGTTTTGTTTTGTCTTGACAAAGGCTATTAGCATGTACGTCACAATTGGACTGCGATGTAACAATGTTAGGCGTAGTGGATGCCATCGGCTATAATGCGTTACTACCAGGTTACCAAAAATTGTAAGATAAACCAGACAACACACAACAGATTTCCAAAACGATACAAAATTTGCCTATAGGTGAATAAAAATGATGAATTATAATATTTAGAGCAGAAAAGACTGATACAACAAGTGAATTTATTGAATGGTAGTACTGTGTATTGGGCGACTATCAGACAATGAACATACCATATAATGTCCCTGCTTGGTTTAGCACACGATAGATTAAGAAAAATAAATTAAATTTATTGAAACCTGAGACCAAGCATAAGTAAAGTGCAGTGCCGAAATAATATTGCTCTGATTTAAGTTTGGCCGAGTGATTTTGCAATATTTTATTATGATCAGATCACACTCAGCTACAACATTCAAGATAGCAATATATAGTCAATGCTCAATCATGTTAAGCATTGAGGAGACTACTATGAATTTCAAGATTTACATGTATGCAGTATATGTAGCTGGTTCACAGTGACCAAGAGTATGTGGGGATATCACAGTACTGATCAGTTGTAGTTATGAGACCATGTACATTATATACAATATGGACAAGGCTTCTGGCCTCACTTGAGACAAAAAAACTATAGATATTCAGTGGATAACCTGAAGTGGAGGACTTAGAGCTTTTTCCACTCAAAAGTAATCATTAACCACAAAACTTGAACAACAGCTCAAATATTTGACAGGATTTGAACAATCATGCTGCACTTAAGTCATGAACTAATGGGATAAGTAGAACCATTACAATAAATGAGGTAAAAATGTTTATTTAGCACTAGAATCTGATAATTTATAATGCACACCATCCAGAAATAAAATTATCTGAGAACACAATTTGACACATACATGTAAATACAGAATCTTAGCTCATTGAAAGGCACAATAATAGTAAGAGCAGTCTTTGCAATGCACCATGTTTGATATGGGTCAACTGATTTACACAAAATGTTATCATGTACTGTGGTTCTTTAACATGATTCAAGGATTTCTCTGTTATTTATCAATCGACAATTACTTCATTTACACAACAGGATTTTACTGAAGCTCAAAAATTGTTGTGTAAATGTGTTTGACTTGAGCTAAGTTTGGCTTCAATAAGATCTCGGGGTTGAGGCTTCAATAGGACTGGGTCCTGACTGTAAAATGCATCGGCCAAAATCAAAAGCTTTATTGCCTAATAAGTTTATTTATTGTACATACTGCAAATTAAATAAATGACAATTACAATGTATCATGTTTTCAGCCAAATTTCTTAGTATGATGGAAAACATATTGCACAGAAACAAATTTGCAAAACCACAGTAAGCTGACAAAAACATCATTTCCTTACTTGGGCTGGTTACCCTACATTTTTTGGACTCCCATAGTTTCTTACTCTGGCTGGTTACCCCATATTTTTTTTCCCATAACATGTATTCTGATGCAAAAGTATCAATAATTTGACATATACCTGAAAAATGTATTTAACAATTTGGTTCAAACATCCTTAAAATAAGTCACTGTACATGTTTATTTTTCTTTAGAAATAATACCATTGAATATATTTTATGAATGTGCACTTCTATCAAAGTGATCATTGAAGCTAGAAGCAGATATTAATTTTCTCTTTTTATGCCACTATTTTAATATGTATCTTGTCATCACTACCAATAGGAAAATAAAATAAATGTTTTCAGTTTTATTATATGTTTTGGACAATAATTTGGAAAAAATAAAACAAGTGATTAAAATTGATCAATTTTACCCTAAATGAAAGGTGAAAATTTCAGTATTCAATTGCGAATCAGAAAAAAGCTGACCACTCTTGGTCAATAAATCAATCAACACTCGTGTGGTCACCTAGACTTCCATATGTACATGTACATTTAATTTCTACTATTTTATAAGCATTCACCCCTGAAATACATTATTAGTGAAAATTAACAACCACACTTTAAAATATGTGAGAAAATTTCAATAAAATTTAAACGACAAACCATTTTTTGATATACATGTAATTTGTAGACAGTTGATCTAATTTTTGCTCTAATGTGATTTTATATACTTACCGTAGCACTAAAGGCAAAGATTTGTCACTTTGACCTGCATTAAATGACGAGCGACCACTGACTGCGTAGTCTCACGAAACTTGGAAAGTAGTAATCCCATTATTAGCTTTCCAGGATAGCCTACATCGCCGTCAATGTACGCATATATTGCTGAACATCCGCCCGTGAAACAGTAATACTGTTTAGATTTGTCAGCGAGTTGAAAAATATCGTAGGCTTTTTACATGCAACGACTTTAGCAATGGCACTAAGCCAGTCGTCGTTGCACTTATACACGGCAACACCCCGAGCTTCTGCGATGCTTTCACAAAAACAAAATAACTGCTATTCAGTCAAGGGTTAACCTACCTCGTTTATCGTCTCCTTGTTCTTTCATATTTTCGTGTTGTCAAAACACACAAATCGTGACTTTTCTTTCAGATTCATGTCATATTTCCCCCTCAGCCTTGGTGTCGATTTCAGAAATCCTTCAGTGGTCGGCGAAATCACATACACTACCCAGCATGCAACTGTTTCCAAAAACGTCAATAATAATAATAAAAAAAAAATCAGCAATACACCCAAGAGAAAGTTTCGAATGCACAAACAAATCATCAACGACAACGATGGGTTACTATAAAAAATAACACTTTGCGGTACATTTCAACGAGCAAGGTATCACTAAACTTCGGTTCAAAGTTTAGGCGGGTGTCAAGCTGACGTCATCACCTCGTTCACATTTACGTTTTACATAATTCTACCTAATATATATATATATATATATATACGTGCATATTGCAAATCAAACCACTTTATATGGGAGAAACGAGCTTTGGGTAACATAACGTAAAACATTCACATAGTCACTGGTTTTCCTTGTTGTGTAAACTGGAACGAGGTCGAAAATACTTTAGCGGCCATTTTAAATTACACTGTTAATTTCAGAAAATACAGACTTTACCACTATCGATCATTGCCATGATGCTGTGGTTGAAAATTTATCCCAGTTAAGAATAACTGTGTACATCGTTTTCGTGTCTAATATTCGTAGCTCCGATACATTTAGGTGAGTTCTTTGTTTTTTAAACCATTGAGAAGACTGGCTGCACTTCCCCCCTGCCACAGTCTTTCTATAGAGCGACTGTGCCCCTGTACTGTCGACAGTCCCTCTGGCCTACTTTACTTTGCATTGCGGCATTTGATTCACTTTACCCCCCCTAATTTTCCATTAATTTGTTAGTGTCTTTACTGTAACATATTTTAGCTGGAATTAATTTTAGCTGCAAAGACATTTTGACTGTTTTGTATGGAGTTTATTTTTGAGGAGTTGAATCACAGGCGGTTGAATGTAAAATATTAGGATAAAGAATATTTTCACTGAATTTTATTTTCTATAAATTCATTCCTTCAGCGAAAATAAAATCCGAGAGAAAATATAAAGTACTTCACAGTAATCAATATAAAACAACTCAACATTAATAATGGCAGCAATGTAAGAACTATGACTGAATGTCTGTTGTGGTTAATATTAGGCCAGACTTTTATTATCCCTTGTTTCGCAAACCCGCCGAATGAACAGAAGCCGAAAATAAAATAAAAATTAAATTTTATTTCAGCGTAATTTCTCGCACCCGCCTACTTGTAAGCACAAAAAATTGCTAAAAAATATTATTTTTATCTTCATTTTTTCCCTGCCTGCCACATAACAAATCCAAGTTGCATTTTCGTGAGAGTAGCATGATCAAAGTACCAAAGTCTCGCGCAGATGAGAAACAAGGTTATACATGGAATAAAATTTTATTTCATTTCTTTTCTCCGATCAATGATCTCACTTACAATTCTTTGAGAATCACACAAATCTAATGAAAAAAAAGAATTAATTTTATTTTTGTTCCACCCTCCTTGAAAAAATTGTCTTATAAAAACCCGAGAAACAAGGAATAAAAAAAGTCTGGCCTTAATAATAATAATAACTTTATTACACTACTAAAAACCTTCAGAGGGTTTTTGTATGGTAAAGAACATAAATACAAAGAAATACAAAAAACATACAATACAAAAGAGATAAAATTTAAGTAAAATAAAAGAAAAAATAAATTAATTACTAATTTAATAATGAATTTATTGCATCCTTAGAAATAGTTCTATTAGTTGACAGCAATAAAATGTAATTTAGTAATTTCAATCAATGAATTGGTGGTATGTAATCACAATTTAGATTTTAGATGTGATTCTCGAAGTTTGTGGGGAGATTCATTTGAATTATTGATCTTTATTCATAACCATGTTTTTTTCGTAGTTCATTTTTTGCATGTAATGCTATGAGAAACTAGCACACCCAGTTTTAATTTGGCCAATATTTGTTTTGAACGTCTGAGTAAACACCATATTCGTAGTCGGGCAATGAGAACGCCTCCCGCCCTACAAATTGTTACTTGGCGCGATCTATGGCAACATTGTATGTTTTTGCACTTGTTTTGAGCAGTTGCTTTTCAGTTGTTTACGAGTTAACATCTGTATTTTGTTGTTGTTGAAGAATAAACGAGATTGAGTTCTAGTTTTCATGACGTGTTCGTTTCAGTTTTCACTTCAGTGACTGAGAAGATTTGAACCTTCCCTTCCCCTAGTTATTCCTGTGGTGGCGACATTTAGTTTTCAACAATATTTATTTATTTATAAACACATAACATTCCTTGAAGGTGATGAAAAGGGTTTCAAAACAGATATTAGTAAAGGAAAAATAACTACATGAAAAAAAAATCATAATTCAAAGATATTGAAACTAAAATAGTATTGAAACTACAAATGCACATTATTGAAATTCGTTGAAAAAAAAGTGATAATAATTTGTATACAAGTAATGTGTTTAATTATATTAAAACAGTTTTTAGTCATTGTTTCGGATGCAGTTCGAAAACGAGGACTTATGGATTGACCCTTGTGCGTTCATATGTCCATTTTAGACATGCCTGGACAATCAAACTTCACATGTATGCATCATACATAATATTATACATACATGTATTCACATCAATTTGTTTCACAATCTGATTCAAGATGGTCGAATGGTTGCTAAAAAATCATCAAAATCAAGCATTTATGGATGGATTTTGTTCAATCTTTGTATATACGTTGGACATTATGGGACCTTGTTGCACATCATTTTATTTTTCAGATTGGATTTAAAATGGCCGACTGGCGGTCATTTTGTTTTAATTAATGCAGTTCTAGTGCCACATCTATCTATTTATTTATTTATTATTTTATATTATTTATTTCACCAAAATGACCATATTTACTGAACTTAATGGTAATAATTCTGGTGTGGACCATGGAAATAGCCTTATGGACTATTCCAGTCCATGGCCCAGACTGCCAAGTAGAAATTGACTGGTAAAGGAAAGAAAAATTACTATTTACATAACGAACAGTAATCTATAAGATTTAGATATAAAGATAAAAATATTATGTATACCGTATTTGTCTTCAATTAGGCACCAGTGCCACGAAAATATTGTATTTTACACCCCAATTAAGCGCCAGACAGAGTTGAAATTTTGCCACGTAATGATCGCAAATTGCAGTCGGCGGAGACGCGATCACAGTTACTGTTACAGTTACTCTCACTGTTACTGTACGATGGGCTTTTGTGCGAGAAATTAGGTTTTGTTTCTAACAATTTTTAAGAAATCGGTCACGTTGGCATCATCCAGCATTTTGATTGGATGATTAACGACTTGACCTACATGTATCAGGTCAAAGAACATGTTTCAGATCAACTTCGACACAGGAAGCATGGCGGATATCGTATCGCATCAAATGTTTACATACGACCGGAATCATTCGCTTACGATGAAATTAAGTTGAATTTTACTTGCATTTTATTTTTTGTACTTTATTATAATTACTACGGAGTAATAATCGTAACTGTGGAATGCAGCATGACCAGATTTGGCTATCGTGATCATGTACTACTAAGCGATGCATTTGTGTTTGTTTTATTTTTCTGTTGATCATAGGGCAAAATGTGAATGTTTTCTAAAGGATGATAATTTTTGTATAACTTTCTAGACTGTCTGAAAACAGGTCATTTACTTAGTATTTAAAATAAATGCTACAGTGACTAAGTGTCAGACTGTAATGTAAAATATTGCCAAGAATGGAGCAAGAACAATGGCTTGATGAAACACAGTTACCAGTACTGGAACTTGAAGTGCTTGAAATAAGTGCCATTTGAAACAAAGTTGCCCAAATTTAACCACAAATAAGCTCCACCACTAAATGAAAGTGTAACAAAGTGGCGCATAATTGAAGACAAATACAGTAATATTATTATAAACAAACTACTGGTACTATAAATTTATATGCAACAGAAAAGAAAAATATGCAGAGAAGTGGAAGTATTCAAGGAATTTAACAAAGCAAATGTTTCATTTCATATTCAAATTTGTTTCTGTTGATATTTTTGAGGTGAATTCCAGTGTTTGACTGCAGCAAATTTAAAATTGTATCGTGAAACTATAAGTTGAGCAACATGAATTGACAAATTACCGCTAGACACTGACTGACCTACATTGTAGTCCCCTTAACTGTCTAAATAAATTTCCATTTGCATAACCTTTTCTTTTCATTTGCCTTTGGTTTTCATTTATAAAGTTTCAGGTGTTCATCTTATTGTCAATTTTCAGGTCTTTGGTGGATTTATTTTTTATGTGTTTCTTGCATTGTATATCTTGTTTCTGACAGTCCTATGTAAAAACTTTATAGAAGAAGGGTTGTGATGATTTTTCTGTTGATGGCAAGCGGTAACTAATGTATCTATGTCGTGCTCAGATATATCCACTCCAGTAGTTTTAGCAACTGACGCAACAATGACATCAGTATTTTCTTGTTGTTGTTCAGGAATTCCATGAATCTCAAGATTGTTACGTCTGGAATATTGTTGTAGGTTGCGGAGCTCTTTTTGCGTGTTGATTAAGGTTCTCTGAGCTTATTCAAGTTGCTTGGTTAATAAATTGTTTCTTCAAATAATTTTCCCATAAATTCTACAGCTTTTTGCAATTCATCAATTTTATCAACTTTCTGGCATAAGGATTTTAAATTAGACATTATCTCACTAACTCGTCACAGGTAGGAATCCTGGCTCAATCGAACATTCCTATTACTGCCACAGTCTGAGTACTTCATGACATAACACAGCAGATTTTGTTGTTTTTACCAACACGTCCGCCATTCACCTCACCCTCTCGACACCCCCTCTCTGCCATGCTTTAACTGATTAGGTTCAAATTTTATATATTCATTACCGGTATACATCGTGACATAGATATATTGGTTTGACCATCTGATTCCAAATGGCAGCCATTTTTGTTCTAAAAATTTATCAAAAATCAAGCTTTTCTGGCATTTCAGAACTGGATCTTGGCGTTTATGGATGGATTTTGTTCAAACTTGGTACATTCTTCAAAGATTAAGAGTTCCTGACTGGCAGCCATTTTGTTTTAATGAATGTGCTTCTAGACCCATATCTCTGATATGCTTTGACTGATTATGTTCAAATTTAAAATATTCGTCTAATCAGGTTATAGAAAAATAGATGTATTCAAAATAGCCAACTGGTGGCCATTTTGTTTTAATTAATGCTGTTCCAGAGCAATATTTCTTTATATAGACAAGTACGATCAGATACAAAATGTCAATCGTTTTAATGTTAAAAAATCATCATGGAAGCATCATCTTCTAGATCCTTACTTCTGACATGTTTATGTTCCAACTATATTACTATAAACAAAACTATATATCTTAAATTTGATAACTAATGAGGACTGTGCCATGCATGGCTTGTTTAAATATTTTGCTAAAGAAATTTACATTAATTGATTATAATATGAAAGTTTGTCAAAATTTGCTATACAATTATTAGCTACATCTACAATGTAAAGTTTTAGCCTTATTTCATTGTAATGAGTACAATTCAAGGCAAAATGTTGTTCATCTTCAACATGGTCATTGTCGCACATATTGCAGATTCTGTCTTTAATATTCATTCTCATATGCTGGCCTGTT